AACCCACTTGAATCAAACTGTGAAATATGATGTATTAAGAACTATGTAATGTTTTGAACGACCAACAATAAAAAAATAAATAAATAAATAAATAAATAAAATAAAGGGATAAAAGTCTGCTGGGCTGGGGCTGGGGCTCAGTGGTAGGGCACTTGCCTAACATGTGTGAGGCACTGGGTTCAATTCCAGCACTGCATGTAAATAAATAAATAAATGTCCATCAACAACTAAAAATAAAAAATTAAAAGTCTGCAGGTGGGTGAGATGATGCAGTATAGGAGAAATAATAAAAAGGTAGAAAACAGATATAAATGAAGGGGAAAAAATAGGATCGAATTCAGAAGTCCAGCSTGTCACTCTCTAAGACTGTCTTCCAGGCCTGTTACTCCCAAATTCCTGGGAAACCTGTAAATCTACCCGTGCACTGTTAGCTAAACACTCAATAAATGGATGAAGGGAGATGTCATATTTTGAGACCCCTATAATTTAAAAAACTTCTCAACACTATGTATTGATCAGATAATGAAGACCAAGTCTGCCTGAGGATGCGGGGGTGGGGGGATTACTGGAGATCACTTGCCTGAGATTACTGGACTGGTGTCATTCCTACCTATCTCCCCATAACCACCCCTCACCAAGTTTCCTTAAAAAGAAGAGTCTGGAATTGGAATGACCCGCATTCAATCCTTCCTGGAGTCACTTCCACTAAAACTTCTACTTCTGCCCTCGGTAAAGCATCATTAACCACAGCATTCAAGCCCTCAGGAGACCTGGTGCGGGATCAAGCCGTTGCAACAGTTAAGGGTTCTGCGGTACCAAGTGTTAGCCAATCACTGTCTGCGCAATGAGCAACCCTGCCCAAGCGCACGCTCATTGGTTGGCGCTGGAAGCCTACCTGAGTTCCAGGGTGGGGATTTAGCTCCTCCTCCTGCAACCTGTGGAGGTTGCAAGAATCCGCACTGCTGGGGCCTTCAAGGTGCCCCACGATGACTCCCAGGAGATTTTCTGAAACAAGCATCTTGCAATCCTGGCCACCCAGCTCTTCCAGGGGTCCTAGGTCACAGAAACGAACCCCTAGCTTCAGCCCCTTTGAGACATAGAAAGTCAGGTGGTTCATTTGCAAAATATAGTATTCAGCCTTAACTGGGTTCAATTGTAGCCGGTTTAATTATGGCACTTTCTTTTTGCCCGTCCTGATTTTAAAATTAGCCAATCCTATAGATTGTACCCCAGAGTTCTCCAATCAGGGCAAAGGGCAGCGCTGCATCAGGTATATAAAGTCCGCCCCAGCGTACTTGCTGGTCAGGTTCTGAAGGATTTTTTTTTCATCAGAGTGAATGCCTACCTCACCCACTTTCAAACACGCTTGATTTCTTGTGGCACTTGATTGTTTCCAGCACCCCTTCCACACAATGTTGGTATGTGCCTCCAGGACGTGAAGCAAGGGCTGGGCGCATCTTAGGCATCTACCTGCTCTACTACCTGAAGCCTGGACATGGGGTCTGCAGCTACATGGAGCTCACCGTCAACCCCACCGGTGGCAAGAAAGGGGAGAGGGGTCTGGAAGACCAACTGGAGAAGGCCTTTTTGGGCTGTGCAGGTCTTCCTCCTGGGAAGCAGGCTTTGAGAGGCCTCAGGCTCAGACTGGGAGATTGATGGCAAAGGTAAGAGTATGTATGCATACAAGTCTGTATGCAAGGGGTGAAGCCTGGAGCCTGGGCTTGAAGCCCTTGTGAGGAGGCTSTAGATGGGGCTGGAGGCCAATGATGGTTAGGGATTCTCTTTTAGTTGTGCCATGGTGGGGTGGAGATGCACAGGTTTTGACCCTCTCCTCCGGGGGATATGGTCTTCCTCAGAGAAGCCTTCTGGTCTGCTCTGGCTGCCCTTCAGGTAAAAAAGTCAATGATCCATTGCCTGACTGATGGGCCCAGGAATTGTCCCCTGCCTCGGCCACCCTCATGCTCTTCCTGTTCACAGTGTTACCAGACATACTCACACACCTCAAACCTCCTGTGTCTATTGGAGTCACATCTGTGCCTGGAACTGCAGCCAGGTGTGTGGGGATCTCTGCACATTGCTTCTGCCACAGCCCAGCATCCAGAATTGCTAGGTGGGACCCCTTGGAGACGGTGACCAAGCTGGGCCTATGCCAGTGATACCTGATTCAGGTGAGATCCACCCCAGTTAGGGTGGTGTCTAAGGTTCCCATAACCTGGGTTCAAGGTGTTTGTTGAGAGACCAGGCAGCTCACACTCTCTAGCTGCTCYGTGTGGGAGGCTGACTAGCAGGTGACTGCGTCTGTCTCCCCTTCTGATTGGTGTGGCATCATCCTCGATCACTCTGTGATCTGGTTGCCTAGGTAACTCAGACAGTAGATCTTTAGGGTCGAGTGACTGTGTCTTTACACATAGGTGTGCCTTCCCACAACCCCATGGGTGGAGCTATGCTCACCTATTCCTTTGTAATATTACCCCTTACTCTGTTTAGGATAGAATGTTCCGTGGAAACACCCTTTGTGTGTTCCCTTCTCTTTCTCTGCCCTTGGGTGTGGCCTTCGTAGATGTCAGTCAACCTGCTGACAGCAGACATCATGAAGCTAGACTCAGCCCCCTTGAAACCTGACCCCTTGCCTCATTTGAATRGCTTCTCCTCAATAAGAGGGTTCAGCACGTGCAGGCTCGCTCTCTCTTTCTGTGGACCCTTAAGGTCAGAGGAGCCATCACAGTACCCCCAAAGAAAAAGGTATGTCTGTCTCTTGTGTGGGTATTTCACACAGTCTAATTAGCCCAGCTCCCCTGGAATGACCCCTGAGTGTTTTAGTTGTGAGCAACCCAGCAGCTCTGCCCCCACTTCTAACCTGGGAAGGGAAGTGCTTGCGGGTCCTTTGGACCCACCACTATTAACAGTTCCTTTGCCCTTTCTCTTGTGTGAAAGGCTCTTTCCTAGACCTTCAGAGTTGACCATGTGCCACCCTCCTGTGGAGCTCTGGCTCCATCCAAAACTATAGCTCTTCCTTGTGGATACCCTGTTTCCCCAATTTAAGTGCTTATTGTGATATTGGGGGTAGAAGGTGGGGCACTTTATCACCGAGCTATAACCCCAACACTTTTTTCTTGTTATTTTGACAGAGTCTCAACAAATTAGCCAGGCTGACCAAGAATCTGTGGTCATCCTGACTTGGCCTCCAGKCTTTGGGATGAAAGGTGCACCCCTCTGAGACTGGCCCACTATTGCCCTTAATGTATTTTGCTTCTTATAATTTATATATATTAATCTTGTGATCAGCTTCCCCACTCTTCACAATAAATTCCAGGAAGACAGTTCTTGTTCACTCTCTCACAACAGAGTATAGCCAGGCACGGTGGCACTCGCTATAATCCCTGTGACTTGAGAGCCTAAAACAGGAGGATCACAAGTTGGAGGCCCACCTCAGCAAATTAGTGAAACCCTGTATAAAAATTAGAAAATAAGAAGGGCTGAAGATGTAACTCAGTGGTAAAGTGGCCCTGGGATCAATACCCACTACCAAAAAAAAAAAAAAAAACAGAATTGCACAGGAATATGGTCCATCAGTATTTAACAAATTAACAGATGGAGGTCTGGCTTCTCCTTCTCAGTACACGTGAGTTGCTCCTGTCTTCCTTTCCCTGCCTGCCACCTCTGATGGGATGAAGTCTGACCCCTGTGTTGCCCTCACTGAGGATTTCCTCTAGGGCCCATGTGATCTGCCTAGCAGAGGAGTCCCTTCAGGAGGAGCCAGGGCAGCTTCTGCCCCTGAGGGCCAATGTCCTAGGTGAGTGCTGTGCTCTTTCCAGCCTGGCCTAGCTCTGGGGAGAGGGTGCCCAGTGGTCCAGTCCAGGCTGGGACAGCTGAGTCACTGGCCCCCAGGGCCAGGGCTGCAGGGGCCTTGAGAAGCCTGACTCTGTATCATCTCCTACCAACTGYACCCTTGGTTATTGTGAGAAGTCACTGCTTTGGGGAGTCCTGATCTGGCTGAGCCAGATGGGCACTGAGGAGGAAGAGGATGGCTGGGAATGAGAAGAGGTGAGAGGTGATTCTGGCCCTGGCCTCCCTAGCTGCCTCCATCTTCTAGGCTGCATTTGACCAACCTCCATGGGAACATTGCACACCTGATCCTCCACAATCCCAACCCTGCCCCTACTTTTCTGTCCCCTCTCCCCTCTACCAGAAACTGGACAGCTTTCATTGAGTACAGTTAGGAGTTCGGAGACAGATGTGGTGGTACATGCTATAATCGCAGAAGATCAGGAGACTGAGGCAGGAGGATCTCAAGTTCAAAGCATCAGGAACTTAGCAAGGCCGTAAGCAATTTAGCAAGACCCTTTCTTCACTATTTAAAAAAAAATTTTTTTTTAATTGGGGATGTTGCTCAGAGGTTAAAGCTACTGGGTTCTTCAATATCAGGTACCAAAAAAAAAAAAGTTTAGAGTGATGGAACCTTCTGTTGTTTGCTGGGACACCTGGGTTTGGGGAACAGAGGTGTGAGGAGGGGCCACTGGCCCAACCATGTGTCCAGCATCGCCCTACCTATCCCTTCTGAATCCCRTTCCCCAGCTTACCTCTGASGACACRCTATTCTGGGAAGGCTCAGGAGACTGACATCCATGACTCAGAGCCCCTTGACCTCCAGTGCCCAGGGAGACTGGATTTTAATACAAACAATAAGATAAAAGGCTGAGGAGGAGCTGGGGAGCTCCTTACATGGAGCCCTGTGGCTCTTGTGCCCCAGCCCCTTCGTGTCTGTCTCTGGAGGCCCCTCAAGCCCAGGGAAAGAAGCACCTCTGGGGCCATTCAGCAGCTGTGAGCAATGTCTCTGAAGTCACTCAGGAGCCATGAAGCAGGGACTCACTTCTTCCTAGAACTATTAGGCTCCAACATAATTTTTCTTTCCTATCCCATGCTGCCTCAAAGCAGCCTTCCTTGCTCTGCTCCGCCCCCATCCCTTCGCCCTGCCCACTCGGCACTCAGGACCTGCCCTGCTCTCAGAGCCTGCAGTTCCAGAAATGCCTGAGGCTGCTCTGCCCTGAGCCCTGGGTGCCTTGAGACCAAACTGGAGCCAGCAGGAAGGTGAGTGGCCTTGCATCCCATTTTCCCCTCCCCTCCCTTGTCGTGATCTGTTTGAAAAAGCCATCTGTTAACCTTCCCTGCAGGGACAAAGTTTGGGGAGCCCTGCAGGAGCCAGATCAGAGCTGAGGGACCATCTGACCCTTGGGCTCTTTCTTCATTTCAGTTCTGTTGTTTCCTGTAGGTTAAACCCACAGGTTGGATTTTAAGACAGATGTATGCCTGGATCCAGCTGAATGATAAGGCTGGTAACCCTGATGTACYCATGCCTAAACCCCACCTTCCTTCCAGAGGATAGCCATTCCCAGGACTGGCTCCTCRCCCGTCCCACTGTGGACCCACAGAAAACAGCTCTGCAGTACCCACTCCACACCTCCACCAATCCCCTGCATGTCCAGGAGGACACAAGCCTAGGTCCCTGCCCAGCTCCAATACCTTCCAGGTGCTCCTTTCACTTGATCGGGCACCTATTTGATCCCTTGACTGGGATTCTACCTCCCAGTTCTTTTCCCATGGACCACCCATCTCAATAGACAACTCCAGCCTGGCCCGAGTCCCCTTCCCCTCTTTTTCTGAGTGATCAGTGTTGCTCATTCATATGCTCATTCAACTGACTAGGCCCTCAGGACCAGCCAAGTTCAACTGCTCAATCAGTCCCATTGGTCCTGGAGCCAAGATGGAGCTTGGGTGGGGAGCTTGGCTGGCCTGAGGTGTTTCCAGATGTGAAGGGCCCAGGGACTCAAGAGGGGAACATCAGAGATGAGCCCACAGGGGCTGTGTCTCAGCAGGGRAGGAAGAGCAATGAGCTGCATGTCAAGAATTAGGATGGGCAGGGCAGCTAGTGCACAGCCTGTGGGAGAGGACTTGACTAGCATGCAARAGACCCTGGGTTCCACCCTCAGCACCACACACAATACAAAACAAACGAAAAACAAACAAAAAGGAACAGGCAGAACCTGCAGGAATTTCTCAACTGCTGACGAAATCACTAGAATCACTGGGAGAGCTTCCAAATCTGTGTATCTGGACTCCAACCCCTGATATTGCTGTGGCAGGGCACTGGGGTCATGGAAAGTTCTGCAAACAATCAGAAGGTGCAGCCTAAGCTGTAAACAACAACACTGGAGTTAAACCTTCCTTCCAATCCTAGCTCTCCACTTAGTAGTTTAGAGAAGCTGGGCAAATAACTGGACCTACTGCAGCCTCAGTGTCCTTATCTCAAAGCAAYAACCCAGCGAATGCTGTTTTTTTATGGTATTCAGAGAAGCAGAGCAGGCGCTGGCCCCTGACTCAGCAGCATGGAGCTGGTCCAGGACACCTCCCGCCCTCCACTGGTCAAKGTGAAGGGGGTCCCKCTCATCAAGTACTTTGCAGAGGTGATGGGGCCACTTCAGAGCTTCCAGGCCTGGCCTGATGACCTGCTCATCAGCACCTACCCCAAGTCTGGTAAGTGAGGAGGGTCACCYTGCTCCCCCGCTGGGACTGCAGTCCCCACCTTGGTCTCCAGGGCCCAGCCCTCCATCCTGCTCATATCTGCTTCTCTCTCTTCCAGGCACCACTTGGTTGAGCGAGATACTGGAGATGATCTATCAGGGTGGTGACCTAGAGAAGTGTCACCGGGCACCCATTTACATTCGCGTACCCTTCCTTGAGTTTAAATGTCCAGGGGTTCCATCAGGTGTGTGGCAGGATACAGGGGCAAAAGATCTTAAAGAATGTGGCTCTGGGTCCAGCTCACCATCCTTCTGCTGTCCGCACCTTAGGTCTGGAAACTTTGAAAGATACACCTGCCCCTCGGCTCCTCAAGACACACTTGCCCCTGGGCCTGCTTCCCCAGAGTCTGCTGGATCAGAAGGTCAAGGTGAGTGGCAGTGGAGGCCACTAGGCCATTCCAGCTTTGGTCCTGTTCTGCAGGGAAAGTCTCTTCAAGCTTTGTCTCTGCACAAGTGGGAAGGCCACCTGCCCTCACTGTGGTGGGGCCAAGACGAGGAGGAGAGGGAGACTCTTCAGTGCAGACCCGAGGGCAGGGGAGCCTGGTGCTCAGAGGCTCACAGAGGGGCTGGAGGGTCCCCTGACTGCCTTGTTCTCCATCTGGGTGTGTGGTGGAATCCCAGGGGTCAGATAGGATGAAGTATGGCTCCAGGGACCAGCCAGGAGTCTCCCATCAAAGCTGAGTTCAGATCCCAGCTGCCTGAGGATCTGAACTCAGCAAGTCACCAGCAAGTCACMCTCAAGGCCTCAGCGTGTTCCCTTGTCAAGCTGAGAGGGGACCCCCCACAGGGGTGCTGTGAAGGGGGCCAGGCAGCCAGGAGGGAGGCAGTCCTGGGGTGTGTGTGGGGGGTGGTGTAGCTGGCAGTGGGTGTCATCTGTCCCTGCAGGTGATCTATGTTGCCCGCAATGCAAAGGACGTGGCTGTCTCCTATTACAACTTCTACAAAATGGCCAAGTTGTACCCTGACCCTGGTACCTGGGACAACTTCCTGGAGAAGTTCATGGATGGACAAGGTGGGTCCCAGTCTGGAGGAAGGAGAGGGCTGGAGCTGAGGACAGCCACCTAAAACTCTTACCAAATCCTGCTGGTCCCCTTCCCCAGTGTCCTATGGGTCGTGGTACCAGCATGTGCAGGAGTGGTGGGAGCTAAACCGCACCCACCCTGTGCTCTACCTCTTCTATGAAGACCTGAAGGAGGTGAGATCCCCCTGCTACCACTCCATCCATGTCCTACCTGGGGGACAGGAACCTCAAGGGACCTGACAAGGCCCTCAGGACCATCCCCATTGGCAGGCCCACCCAGCCCAGGACTCCCCACACTGCCTTCCCATCCAGGACTGTAGAGAGAGCTCAGCTCAGGGCCCAGCACAGTCCTTATCTCCTAACACCTGGGTCAGCTACACATGTGGTCATGGGTCAGCTGTTTGTTGTTTTCATGTCCCCCTGCACAAGGCTGTGCCACACCTGGGGCCACAGTTCTAAAGGAAGACTGTCCCTCCTTTCTCCTAAGGCACTAAGCAGGGCTCACTCCAGGACMCTAAGGCAGAGAGCTAGTAGTTTTGGTCCAGGGAAAGAGGCCCAGGGTGAAGCAGCTAGGGCTGGGAATTTTTGAAATGGAAGGGGCCAGCTCCCCCCATGTGACACCAGAGAGGGGACTTCCCCTGTGTTTGCTCAGGAAGCAATCCAAGCCCCCTCTGAAGAGCTTACGTCTTGCTTCAGAACCCCAAAAGGGAGATTAAAAAGATCCTGGAGTTTCTGGGGCGCTCCCTGTCAGAGGAGACTGTGGATCACATYGTCCAGCACACATCCTTCAAGGAGATGAAGAAGAATCCCATGGCTAACTACACCACCATACCAACCGAGATGATGGACCACAGTATTTCTTCCTTCATGAGGAAAGGTGTGTGCAGGCCAGGGTGGGCGGCTGCAGAAGGGAGGGTGGAACCCAGAGCCTACCCTGGGCCACTTCGGACCACCTATGTTGGCAGGTACTCAGGCCTCCTCTTTCCCCCCGCCCCAGGCATCACAGGAGACTGGAAATCCATCTTCACTGTGGCTCAGAATGAGCACTTTGACGCCCACTATGCTGAGAAGATGGCAGGCTGCAAGCTCAASTTCCGCTGGCAGCTCTGAGTGGTGTCGTGGGGAGCCACTGCAGGGGGAGCATGGGCACAAGCCTGACCTATGACCTCAGGAATAAAACATGATGTGTCCAACAAGAGGCTCTGCTGGAAGCCAGGAGAACACCTGAGACAAAGTAAATCCCACTGGGACCAAGTAGGGCCCTCTGCCCCACAGTCTATAGCTCCTACCTGCTCTGTCGGGGAAGGGAAAGAGGATCTGCAGGAGAAAGACCCAAGAGACATGAGAGAAGAGGAAGAACATTTGACCCTGTAAGATCCTCTGTTGTTTCTCCCTCTAGTCTGCTGGCCAGCTTCACTTTTTCTTGGACCCCTTACAAGCCACCTCTCTCTCACTAGGCACTTTATCACTGAGCTGCATCTTAAACCCTTTTTCATTTTTTATTTTGAAACAGGGTCTCACTACATTACTGAAAGTCTCCCTGTTTTGCTGAGGCTGATCTCAAACTTGCAGTACTCTTGTCTCAGCCTCCACAGTCACTGGGATTATGGTGTGTGCACCACTATGCTCGACTTAGAACAGAGCCTTGAGGAGGAGGAAGTGAGGACAGTTAAGTACCTGGGATTGGAGGCAGGACCTGAGTTCAGCAGGTATGACGAGATATATCAGCACTAAGGTGGCGAGCCTCTTGGCTACACTCCAGGATGGTTTTGAGGATGGTTTATGGTTTGATTGAAGGCAAATGCTGGTTGGAGATTCAGCATCTGAAGGAGATGCAATATGGCTACTTAGATGAAGGCTGCATTTCCAGTTGTTTATAGATTGGAATTCAAGCAATAAGAGTATGATGTTTTAGTGTGATGGACGAAAGAGGGAATTGGCTGAAATCCAATATTTGACAGTCAGAGTCTCTTGACTCGGAAATTCAGGTATATTGGATGAAGTACAAGAAAGAGTAATTGGAGCCCAACTGATAGCAGCAGCAGCAGTGGGGTTCATTGGAGAGAACAGGGGTAACACAACCAGAGAGAGAAACACAATAGAGCAGATTTGGCACAGGAAAAAACTGTAGAAGGAAAAGCAGGCTGAACTTAGCTGGACTAGTAGCTAGCTGCACAGTGAACTGGTGCCTGAAAAGTGCTGTGTTTCTCAACTGGCAAGTGGAGAACAAGCGCTAGATTCATCTTCAGGTCATGCTGCAGCTTGGGGAGCCCTGGAGATCACAGCAAACATAACCGTACTCTCCTGGCAAGTGCCTACCATGTGGCCTAATATGTGCCTAGCAGAATGTAAGTGAAACAAACAGGCACAGAGACAACTGTCCCCAGGGGGATTCAAGTCAGAGATAAGAAAGGCAGTGCACCTCACTTTTCCTTTGAGTCTGATAACTCGTGACCAGCTAAAGAAGGTTAGGGAACTGAACAGGTGTGATTACCTTGAGGGATTTGGCCTGGAAAGGTTGTATTCGTGAGCAGTGAAATGTGTGAGCCCTCCGGAGGGTTGACTCCCCAGCTCCATGAGTTCTTGGGAGGCTTCTGAGATCCAGATTCCCAGTAGAGACTGGTATCTGATTGTCATCAGGGGTGTATTGCTCCAATCTCTCCACACAATAGTGCCCCTAAGGAATGAGTAGACCTAAGCCATAATTTCCCTTCTAGAACTCTGCAGCAGCCCTATCCTGGGAGTGCATCAGTCTGGTCTGTCCAGATAAAGCTCCAGTTGACAGTACTTCCCAGAGGTAATGACCATCTATCCCAGTTGACTGTTTTGTCCACCTCAGTGGAGACAATTCTTTCACTTTTCATTATGAATCTTCTTTCTTTCTTTCTGGTATTGTTTTGTTGTCATTGTCAGGAAATAAACATCTCAATAATAACAGTGAATATAAATGGTCTTAACTCTCCAATTAAAAGACATAGTCTGGAAGAAAGGATTAAAAACAAAACCTAAATATATGTCATTTGCAAGAGACTCACCTTGCAGGCAGAGACAGCCACAGGCTGAAAGAATGGAAATTAATACACCATGCAAACGGAGCCCTAAAACAAGCAGGAGTAGCTATTCTCAGATCTGACAAAGCAAACTTCAAGCCAAACTTAATCAGAARAGACAAAAATGGTCACTTCATACTGGTAAAGGGAAAAATCCAAGAAAAAGATACAATGATAATAAATATTTATGCCCCAAACATCACTTAAAGACTCAGACAAACCCTGGTACAATAATATCTTGGGTGATTTCAACACACCTCTCTCACCAATAGATAGTTCATTCACACATAAACTCAGTAAAGACTCTTCAGACCTAAATATATTATAAATCAAATGAACTTAACAGACGCCTATAGCATATTTCATCCAACAAGAACTGAGTATACTTTCTTCTCAGCCGCACATGGTACCAAAATAAAATACATTTTAGGCCACAAAGCAACCCTTCAAAAATACAGAAAAAAAATCAATATAATACCTTTTATCTTATCTGATCATGATGGAATAAAACTAGAAAKCAACACCAAAAAAAAAAMCCCTGTAGAAACTATATAAACATGTGAGGATTGAAGAATGAACTTTTGAATGATGAAGGGGTGATAGAAGAAATCAGGGGGAAATTTTAAAACTTCTGAGAATCTAACATATCAAAATCTCTGCCTGTGGGACTGGGGTTGTGGTTCAGCAGTAGAGCGCTCACCTCAAATGTGTGAGACCCTAGGTTTGATCCTCAGCACCATATAAAATAACTTAAGTTAAATAAAGGTATTATGTCCAACTACAACTAAAAAATACATATTTAAAAAAAAAAAAACCTTTGCCTGTAATCCCAGCAGCTCAGGAGGCTGAGGCAGGAAAATCGAGAGTTCAAAGCCAGCTTCAGCAAAAACAAGGCACTAAGCAACTCAGTGAGACCCTGTCTCTAATTAAAATACAAAATAGGGCTAGGAGGTGTCTCAGTGGCCGAGTGCCCCTGAGTTCAAAGTTCTGGGACTTTGCTCTGGGAACTTTCTGTTCAAAGGTACAGGACAAAGTTGCCCAGGAGCCCTGCCTGAGGAAGTTCTATGTAAAGGTACAGAACAATAACAGTCTTGACCTTGAGCTCAGACACCACCTGCCAGGATTAGAGAATTCTGAGCAGAACAAGATAACCACAATATCTTGCAAGTGCTGCAACCTTCAATCCTGCCTGCTTTGCAAGAGTTTTAGATAGTGGGCTTCCTGGGTGCAGCAAGATAATAACAGGATGTTCCTAGCACTGCAACAGTAGAATAGCTACAAAAAAAAAAAAATGTTTCTTGTTCTGTACCTTTTTAGTGCACAAAGAAAAATGCCCCTATAGTTTTGACTTCCTGATTGTGAGGCCCTATATAATAAATGTGCTGAGCCAGATCTGGGTCACTGTTCCTCCATCAGAGGTCAGTGTCCCACCTGGTCCCAGCTCTCTTTTTGTGTTTGTGTGTCTTTCTTAATCCCCCACCACCCCTCACCAGTTTCTAGGGTTTGGCCAGGCAGTTCACAGCAGGACACTATCAAGGTAGTTCTAAAAGGAAAGTTTATAACTGTGAATGCCTATATGAGAAAATCAGAAAGATCCCAAATAAACAACCTAATGATGTATCTCGTGGCCCTTGAAAAAGAACAAATAAATTCCAAAGCCAGTAGAAGGAAGGAAATAATTAAGATCAGAGCCAAAATCAATGAAATAGAGAATAATACAAAGTATAAATGAAATGAAGACTTGATTCTTTGAAAAGATAAACAAGATTGATAAACCTTAGCAAAACTAAGAGAGAGAGAGAGAGCGAGAGAGAGAGAGAGAGAGAGAGAGAGCGCTAACCCCTTTTATTGAGGAGAAGCTATTCAAATGAGGCAAGGGGTCACGTTTCAGTGGCTGAGTCTAGCTTCCTGATGTCCCCTGTCAGCAGGTTGACTGACATCTAGGGAGGCCACACCCAATGGCAGAGCAGAGAAAGGGACACACAAAGGGCATTTCCATGGACCATTCTATCCCAAACAGGGCAAAAGGGTAGGATGACAAAGGAATAGGTGAGTATAGCTCCTGAAGACATGCCTTCTACTTCCTGGGCTGGGACAACACCCAAGTCACCAGGAAATGTAGTGATCAGTCAGAGCCTCTTGCTCCAGGATGGAAGGCGTGGGTCATTCAGAGTGCTCCCCACACTCCCTTCTAACCTGGGAAAGGTAGTGCTCACGCGTCCTCGGACCCACCACTATCAACAGACCTTTCTCTTGTGTGAAAGCCTCTTTCCTAGACCTTCAGAGTTGACCATGTGCCACCCTCTTGGGGAGGTCTCCCCTGGCTCCATCAAAAATTATAGCTCTTCCTTGTGGTCAGCCTGTTTCCCCAATGTATGAGTTTATGGTGGTTCTGGGGATAGAAATTTGATCCACTCTTGTCACTGAGAACATTCACATCATTTTTTATTTTGCATGGTCTTGCTAAGTTGGATGAAATGGCCAAGAACAAGCGATCCTCCTGACTCTGCTGACCCAGTGGCTGGCATTGCAGTTGTGTGCACAGAGACTGGCCTGCTGCTGCCCAGCAACACTCACTTGGGTGAAGCATGTGTTCTTGACTCAAATAGAACAAATTTTATTATCTTGAAACCTGCTTCCCCACTCTTCAGTAAAGTCCAGGAGGGCAGGTCTTGTTTACTTTCAGAACAGAACAGAGCTCAGAGCAGATGGCCAATCAATACCTAACAAATTAACAGATGGAGGCCTGGCTTCTACTGACTCCTCAGTAAATGTGAGTTACAACCTTTCTACTCTTCCCTACCTGCCACCATTTACTGGGTAAAGACAATCCCCTGTGTTGCCACATCCCGGCTGTCCCCTAAAGACCCATGTGATCTGCCTGGCAGAGGAATTTCTTTAGGAAGAGCCAGGGCAGCTTCTGCCCCTGAGGGCCAATGTCCTAGGTGAGTGCTGTCCTCTTTCCAGCCTGGCCTAGCTCTGGGGAGAGGGTGCCCAGTGGTCCAGTCCAGGCTGGGGCAGCTGAGTCACTGGCCCCCAGGGCCAGGGCTGCAGGGGACTTGAGAGGCTTGACTCTGTATCATCTCCTGCCAACGGCACCCTTGGCAGCTGTGAGAAGTCACTGCTTTGGGGAGACCTGATCTGGCTGTGCCAGGTGGGCACTGAGGAGGAAGAGGTTGGCTGGGAATGAGAAGAGCTGAGAAGTGATTCTGGCCCCGGCCTCCCTAGCTGCCTCCATCCTATGGCTGCATTTCACCAAGCTCTTATCCCCACAGGAACACTGGACAGACATTCTGGACCCCTGATCCTCAGCCTCCTCAAGTCTTCCCTTCTACATTTTTTGTGCCCCTCCCCCCATCCATCTTGATCTGGACAATTTTTATTTGAGTATAATAGGAAGTTTTGAGATAGGGGAACCTTCTTCTGGTGTTTCTGGGGAAGTCTGGGTGAAGGAAACAGAAACTGGAGGAGGGGCCTCTGGACCAGCCTCTCCCCTGCCCAGAGGCCTCTCTGCCTGACTTTGTCCAGCTTGGCACTTAGGACACACTACACTTGGGAGACTCAGGAGACTCCCACTGTGACACAACCTCCCACCTTCAGTGCCTAGCTAGAATGTGATTGTAATCCAAATAGAAAAATGCAGAGGAGGTGGGGAGCTCTCCCTCCTTGTGACCCTGTAATCTTCCTGTCCAGCCTCCTCAGCCCAGGGAAAGAAAAGCACCTGTTGGCTGTGCCCCACCAGCCATGAGCCACGCTCCTTGAGGTCCCACAGAAGCCATGAAGCATGGGCTCCCTTCAGCACTAAAAGGTCCTGGCAACCTGTTCTTTCCAATCCCATGCTGCCTCAAAACAGCCTTCCTTGCTCTGCTCCACCCCCAGTCCCTTGATCCTGCCCACTCAGCACTCTGGACTTGCCCCATGGGCAGAGCCTGCAGTTCTGGAATATCCATGGCTGCTCTGGCCTGGAGCCAGCAGGAAGGTGAATGGCCCTGAACTCCACCTTTCCTCTCGCCTTGCCTCCCTGAACTTGGTCAGTGAGAAGAAGCTGTCTGTGCACGTCTGTAATCCTTGACTCAGGAGGCTGAGGCAAGAGGATCATAAGTTCAAGGCCAGCCTCAGCAAATTAGTGAGACCCTAAGCAACTTAGCAAGACTTCTGTCTCAAATTGAATATAAAAGAGGGGGTTGGGAATGTAGATCAGTGATAAAGGGCTCGAGAGAGAGGAGAGAGGGGGGGAGGGAGAGAGGGAGAGAGGGAGAGAGGGAGAGAGGGAGAGGGAGAGAGAAAAGAAAAGAGCCCTCTGTTAACCTGCTGTGTAAGGGTGGAGTTTAGGGGAGTGGTCCAGAAGCCCCAATTAAACCTGAAAAAACATCCTCCCCTTGGGTCCTTCCCCTGATTTCTCTAGTTTCTTCTATATGCTAAATGCACATCTTGGGTTTTCAGACAGGTGTGTGTGCTTGGCTCCCCTGGGTGCTAAGGACAATAACACTGACACRCGCCCCGTCCCAAAACCACACCCTTCTTTCCAGGAGGACAGCCATTCCCTGGGCTGGCTCCTCACCCCTCCTACTTTGAATCTACAAAACCTTCAGCTCAGAGAGCAGCTCTGCAGTCCCATGTCACACCTCTACTAATCCAGTGTCTGCCAGAAGGCCGCAAGGCCAGTATCCTGAAAGGTCAGATGAGTGCCAGATTGGGGGTGGCTGGGCAAGACACCCTTGCCCAGCCCGGCTCCTGGCTCCAACATCTTCTAGGTGCTCCTTTCCTTGTTCAGGCACCATTGGTTCTCTTGGCTGGGGCTTCTACCTCCCTGTTCTTTTCCCATGGACACCCATCACAATAGGACAACTCTACCCTGGCCTGAGTCCCCCTCCCCTCTCTGCTGAGTGATCAGTTTTGCTCATTCACATGCAAGACTGGCCCACCAACCACGTTCAGCTGCTTAGTTGGTCCTGTTTGTCCTGGAGACAAGGAGTTTGGGTGGACAAGTGGCTGGCCTGGGGTGTTTCTGGATGTGAAGGGCCCAGGGAGCTATAGAAGAGGAACAGCACAGAGAGGAGCCCATGGGGAACAGTAAGAGCAGCCAAGTTGACCAGCAAAGCAATTGGCTGGGCAGGAGAGGTGTAAATCACAGAGTGCTTGCCTAGCATGCAGGAGGCACTGGGCTCCCTCCTCAGCACTGCAACCAATACAAAACAAAAATGGAATGGATAGGCCCTAGATTTGTTTKAAGTACTCACTGGAATCTCCTGGAAATCTTCCCAAATCCAATGTCTGTGACCAGATGCCAGGAACTGCTTACACTGCCCTAGAGTCATGGAAAATTCTGCAGGTAAGCAGCAGGTGCGGCCCAAGCCGTGAACCACTGCACTGGGGTTTAGACCTGCCTTCCCATCCCAGCTCCCCACTCACTAGCTTGGTGAGCCTGTCAACTCACAGAGCCTCCTGAAGTCTGTGTCCTAATCTCAAAGCAACAATCCTCAAATGCTGTTGTGTGATGGAATTCAGAGAGGTAGAATAGGTGCTGGTCCCTGACTCAGCAGCATGGAGCTGGTCCAGGATAACTCCTGTCCTCTGYTGGTCAGTGTGAAGGGGGTCCCTATACACCAAGTACTTTGCAGAAGGATAGGGCCACTTCAGAGCTTCCAGACCTGGCCCAATGACCTGCTCATCAGCACCTACCCCAAGTCTAGTAAGTGAGGACGGCCACCCTGTTCCCCTACTGGAACTGCAGTCCCCACCTTGGTCACCAGAGCCAGGCCCCCACCCTGATCATGCCTGCTTCTCTCCCTTTCCAGGCACCACTTGGTTAAGTGAGATACTGGAGATGATCTACCAGGGTGGAGACCTAAGGAAGTGTCATTGGGCCCCCATATATTTTAGGGTGTCCTACCTTGAATTCAAATGCCCAGGTCTCCCCTCAAGTGCCTGGTGTTGTCCTGGGCCAAGTTCCAGGTCCAGCTCATCAGACCTTCCCCTGCCCACACCTTAGGCCTGGAGTCTCTAAAAGACACACCTGCTCCACAGATCCTCAAGACCCATTGCCACTGGCCCTGCTTCCCCAAGTCTGAAGGTCAAGGTGAGTGGCAGGGAGCCCACTGGACCATTGCAACTTTGGTCCTCTTCCTAGGAAAGTCTCTTCAAGCTGTGTCTCCACTCAAGTGGGAAGGCCACCTGCCCTCACTGTGGCAGGGCCAAGACAAAGAGAGTGAGACTGTTATTTTGGCAGGGCTGGGGGCAGGTACCTGGCATAGAACCTGGTTCATTTAACCACTGAGCCACATCCCCACCCCTTTTTAAATATTTTAGAGACAGGATGTTGCCAAGTTGCTTAGGTCCAAAGTTGCTGAGGATGCCTTTGAACTTGGGATCCTCCTGCCTCAGCTTCCTGAGCCATTGGGACTAAAGGCTTGGGGCCCCATGCCTTCTTTAGTTCAGTCCTGAGAACAGGAGAGCTCAGGTGCTTAGAGGCTCATACAGGGGCTTGAGAGACTCAGCCTGCCTTGATCTCCATCTGGGTGTGTGGTGGAATTCAAGGGGTCAGATTAGGATGAAGTACAGCTCCAGGGACCAGCCAGGAGTCTCCCATCAAAGAAGAGTTCAGATCCCTGCAGCCGCAGCCATCCCTGAGGTCTCCAGCAAGTCAGCCTCAAGGCCTCAGTGTGTTCCCTTGTCAAGCTGAGAGGGAACCCCCCACAGGGGTGCTGTGAGGGGGCCAGGCAGGCAGGAGGGAGGCAGTCCTGGGGTGTGTGTGGGGGGTGGTGTAGCTGGCAGTGGGTGTCGTCTGTCCCTGCAGGTGATCTATGTTGCCCGCAATGCAAAGGACGTGGCTGTCTCCTATTACAACTTCTACAAAATGGCCAAGGTGCACCCTGACCCTGGCACCTGGGACAGCTTCCTGGAGAAGTTCATGGATGGACAAGGTGGGCCCCAATCTGGAGGAAGGAGAGGGCTGGAGCTGAGGACGGCCACCTAAAACTCTTACCAAATCCTGCTGGTCCCCTTCCCCAGTGTCCTATGGGTCGTGGTACCAGCATGTGCAGGTGTGGGGGGAGCTGAACCGCACTCATCCTGTGCTCTACCTCTTCTATGAARACCTGAAGGAGGTGAGACTGCCTACTACTTCTATCTATGTCCCACCCAGGAGGCAGGAACCTCAGGGGACCTGACAAGGCCCTCAGGACCATCCCCTTTGGCAGGCCCACCCAGTCCAGGACTCCCCACATTGCCTTCCTGTCCTGGAACCTCAGAGCCAGCCCAGCTCAGGACCCAGCACAGCCCTTATGTTCTAGCACCTGGGTCAGCTACACATGCCCAAGGCTGTGCCACACCTGGGGCCACAGTTCTAAAAGATTGTCCCTGCCCTCTCTCCTAAGGCACCACACAGGGCTCACTCCAGAACCCTAAGGCAGAGAGCTAGTCATTTTGTTCCAGGGAAAGAGGCCCAGGGTGAAGCAGCTGGGGCTGGGAGGTTTCCAAGTGGAAGTGGCCAGCCCCCCACTTCCCATAAGCAATCCAAGCCCCCTCTGAAGAGCCCTTCTGCTGCTCTAGAACCTGGAAAGGGAAATTCAGAAGATCCTGGAGTTTCTGGGGCGCTCCCTGTCAGAGAAGACCGTGGATCACATCGTCCAGCCACATCCTTCAAGGAGATGGAGAAGAACCCCATGGCTGACTCCAGCACCTTTCCTACTCATATCCTAGACCACAGTATTTCTCCCTTCATGAGGAAAGGTGGGTGCCCCAACRGGAGGGTATTTGGGGAGTGAAGGGTGGAAGCAGCTGCCAGATCCTGCCTTGAGTCTCTTGGGACCACCTGTGTATGGGACTCCAGCATTACTCTGTCCCTCCCCAGGCATCCCAGGGGACTGGAAATCCGCCCTGACTGTGGCCCAGAAGGAGTACTTTGACACCCACTATGCTGAGAAGATGGCAGGCTGCAAGCTAAACTTCCACTGGGAGATCTGAGTGGTGTCGTGGGCACAAGCCTGACCTATGACCTCAGGAATAAAATACAAACACACAGAGGTTCACGCCTATACGCCAGCTCTCAGGAGGCTAAGACAGGAAGATCCTAAAATTCGAGGCCAGCCTAGGCTACCTCAAAATAAAATAACATTAAGGAAAAAAAAAAAAGAAAAAGGCAGGGAAGGTTACAAATGCAGCCGAGAGGTAGAGTATGGGTGAGTTCAATTTCCATTATCACCAAAAAATAAAAATGTAAAATACCTATATAATCTGTTCAAGACAGAGATTCTCTTGGAAGACTCTCTGGAGCAGGTAGGGCCCTCTGCCCCACCCCCTACAGAGGAAAGCCAGGAGACACAGGAGAGGGGGAAGAATATTTATTTGATCCCAGAAAATCCTCTCTTGCCTTCTCCCATGAGGACGGCAGTAGCAAACCTCCGGTCTGACAGTTAGCTTCACTTTTTCTTGGGTTCCTTACAAGCCACCACGTACCTCTGGGCCACATTGAGGGGAGGGGAGTAGCCATCTGCATAGGAGGTGTCTTCAAAGAGAACCGAGTAGTCATCTTGGGGCTGCCAGGGCAAACAGGAGGGGCTGGTCAGAGGCTGCTGGCACAGGCCAGCCTCCTCCTGGCCTGGAGCCTGGCCCAGCAGGAACGCTGTGAGCTCCCAGCCTCTCTGGTCCTCATCTTTCACTCTGGAGTCAAGGGGTCCAGATGCTCACCCCAGTCCCTGCTACTCCAGAGCTAGTTCTCCAGGGCAGGGGATAAAGAGTGGGAAATAAGAGAGACTCACTACCCAAGGGTCAGCCTAGACCTGCAAGGATGTCTGGGGCCATTCAGGAGCCCTGTGTTGAGAGGATTAAGGACAGCCCAGAGAGCAGACAGGTGTCCTAGAGGCACAGGGAGAACAGCCTTTAGCTGCATCAGGTTACCAATGACCAGAGTCTCATGTGTCAGTGTCGGCAAGAGCTGGGGTGATGGAGGGAGTCAGGAGACATTGGTACGTGCTCCTAGCTTGGGCCTGGGGTCCAATTATGGTCAAAGTGAGGAAGGAGAGGAGGGCAGAGCAGCCTGCTCACTAGGGGCAGGCTCCGTCTCAGGCTGGGCAGGAGGGATTCACAAGGTAGAGGCAGGTCCTTGAAGCTGTGAGGCCATGAGAGCAGAAAAGAGAAGGAATTGGAAGATGACCCCATGCCCTGTCTGGGAGCCGGGTGTCATGAAAGGCCTGTCCACGAGGCTGCCTTACCCGCTGTGGGGGCGTATGGATCAGGGCACGGTAGAAGCAGGTGGTCTGGGGATACAAGGCCAATACAAGCTGCTCCTTCTGGAATAAGGCCTCAGGGTCCGTCTCAGGGTTGGCTTTCCACTGGGGCAGTGGGATGATGCGCCGGCGGCTCAGGGTGTGTCTCCTGAGGGGAGACCCAATCAGCCCAGGGCCAGGGAGACCACTTGCCAGGAGCCTGGCCACCCATTCCCAGCTGGACACTCACTCTTTGCCTTCTTCATCAATGTCATCTACCTCATACCTGTGGGGGGAACGGAAGGAGGACACCAGGTGTAGCCAGGTGCCCACTGCAAGCCAGGGAGCCAGAAAGAGGAGGAGGGGGAGATGGAGAGTGGGAAAGTGGCCCGAGGAGCACAGTGCCTCCCACACCTCCTGCCCAGGTGCCCTCGGGGAAGCTCTTCTCCCGCTGTGCACACAGGCTGAACAATGCCAGCGGAACAGGGTGTGGTGAGCAAGGTTCAGCGGGGTGGGTGTCCACTCACTTGTTGGTGGCATGGCTGTAACTGACCACCTCTGCCAGGATCCACTGCTCATCCCCATCCACAGCCTTGACCCGCGCAGCCACCTTGTCTCCAGGCTTGGCCACATAGTCCCCTGAGGCTGGAATGGCTCCACAGAGGGGTGGGGGCCTGTGAGTGGAAGGAGCATTAGTCTGGGCCTGGACACCAGGCCCCCCCTGCTGGCTGTCACCCTCACTTGTCACCAGGCTTCCCGATCCACAGGGGCAGGGTCATGGCCGACTGCTGCAGCAAGGTCATCAGCACCCCTCTGCGCATGGTCTTACGAGGCGGCTCCGAGTCATTGTACAAACCCGCGATCTTGGCCGCTGTGGGTATGAGGTGTACCCTTGAGGCCCCAGGGAGGGGCACCTGCCCTGAGACCCCCAGCACCCTGCCCTGTGCTGTCAGAAGAGCTCAGCAGGGAGCCCCCACCTCCCCAGTTACCACCAAGGGTCCAGCCCCTTCCCTGCCCATCCACGAGATGTCCAAGTTGGGACCCTGACAAGCTAAACTGCCAGGGTGATGAGGTGTGGGGACAGTGGTCACCCTTGAGGGGAGGAGCTACAAAGTTGCCAAAGGGTGGTTTGGAGGTGCAGTCACCTCTGTCTCCTGACCTGGGCACCGTTGGCCTGAGTGTGCTGGGCCATCAAAACCCACAGGAGCCTTACCCTTCCGGGCACTTCTCTAATCATCTATTCACCCAAAACTGAGAACCAATCATTCAGCGTGGACCTTTGGCCTCTCAGGCATGGCTACACGCACCCCTCAACTTCAAACAAAACCAAACTGGCAAGGAGACAAGGCCAAGGGCCGAGGGGTCTGCCCACCATGGCAAGACAGGTGGGGAAGCCAGGGCAATGGCGTTTGTGGGCCTGGAAGGCAGCACCTGGGTGGCAGCCACTCGTGGTCTTGCTTCAGGACACAGGGTGGGCTCTGCCAAGCTCCGAGATTCCCCCCACAGCAAGAAGCAGAGTGGGTGGTGGGAGGAAGGAGGGAGGCACAGGCCCTCTCAGAAGAAGAGAGAACCAGGAGGAAAACCCTTCCCGAGGCCATGTGCAGTGATAACCTGTCAGTGCCACTGGCTCCCCACAGAAGGCCTGATGGCTGTCCTCAGCAGCCCCCACTCTGCCTGCTCAGGAAACCCTAGTGCATTCTCCCAACTCACCAATCCGCCTCTCTTCCAACAGCGACTTGATCTCAGCAATCTTATCCAGGGCTTTGCGGAGGATGCTGAGGGTAGGAAAGGCAGAGAAGAGGTCTTGGGGCATGCACTTTCCTGCTGATGCCAGGCTGGGCTCTTCAGGCAACCCTACTGCTGCAAACTAGAGTCCCAGAGGACAACGCGGGCCATATAAGGACTGTTCAATGGGCACAAGGAATGCACACAAGGGAGCTGGAAACCTCCTCTCGCCCAGTGACCCCACAGCCATTTCAACATCCTAATGCAACACACTACATGTGTGTGGCGGTGATAGTGTAGACAAACCTACTGCATGGCCACAGGTATGACAGTAGAGTATGCGCAGTTACACACAGTACAGTACACTCAATAACAGTGACTGTGCTACTACTAGGGTTTGAGGTTTTTTTCTTTTGATACTGTGGATTGAACACGGGGCACTTAACCACTGAGTCACATCCCCAACACTTTTCATTTTGTATTTTCAGACAGGGTTTTGCTATATTGCTTAGGGCTTCACTAAGTTGCTGAGGCTGGCCTTAAAAAGTCATGATCCTTCTGCCTCAGCCTCCCAAGCTACTGGGGATTACAGGTGTGCACCACTGCACCTGGCTATGCTACTAGATTGAACATTAACTTCACTTTCTTTTTTTTATTTTTTATTTTTAGTTGTAGATGGACACAATATCTTTATTTTATTTATTTATTTTTATGTAGTGCTGAGGGTCGAACCCAGTGCCTCACACTTATGAGGCAAGCGCTCTGCCACTGAGCCCCAGCCCCAGCCCCTTCACTTCACTTTTGATTGTTAGATTATACTCCGATTTATTAAATAAAGAAATTAACTGGAAAGCAATATGCCCTTGACACCAGCAGCTGCCTCTCTCATATTTACCGCATGTCTTATTTGCATCGAGAGGTCACACTGAGTGTGGCCTACAGCATCTAGATTTGCTTAAGTTCTCTGTCATGTTCTCACAATCATAAACCTGCCTAAGGCTGCACATCTCAGAGTGTTAAGTAATCCATGCCTGTGTTTGTTTGTAATCTGCATGTGTGTTTGGGCTGGGGTCCCTGGGGCTCAAAATCAGGCCTGGTGCATGCCAGGCCAGAACTCTGTCACCAAGCTAAATCCCCAGTCCTGGCTTAGCTAAAAGTACAAATGGCAAGGCAGCAGGAAGAACAGGCCCAAGGCCCTAAGATAAGGATCCTATGGGGAAAGGCAGGTCTGGCTGGGCTGCCTGTGCTGAGAGCACATGACATATCCTGCAGAAAAGCAGCTGTGGCTCAGGCCACTCTAACATCCTGCTGAGGTGATGAGGACAGAAGTGAGAACCCGGGGCCTTCCCTAGGTAGGACAGAGCCAGTGCTGTGGAGACTGCCCTGGGTAAGAGCAACGCTGGAGCGCAGGAAACTCATCCATGCAAGACCACAACCAGGCACAGACCTCTGCACAGACTTGTGGCCCCAGGAAGCTAAGGAAGTCAGTTTATGGAGGTTCCAAGTTAATAGAAACCCAAGTCACCTGGTGCAGATATCACCACAAAACTTCCATGGAGGCAGGCTTCTACTTCTGTCCCAGTACTGGGAATTGAACCCAGGGACATTCCCCTGGGTTCTCATCCTCATTCCTTTTTATTTATTTATTTTTAATTTAGAGACATGGTCTCGCYAAGTTGCCCAAACTGGTCTTGAACTTGCAATCCTCCTGCCTCAGCCTTGGCATAACTGGGGTTACAGGCGAGTACCACTGCAACCAGTCAAGGCAGGCTTCTTTATTTGAGATCTTGGGGAACCACCCCAGAGGTCATTTCAAGAGCAATGCGCTCCACTATGGGTCATTTTATTACCTGCTCCCAGAGCCGACCCCAGCCCATTCCTCAAGCAAAGCTTTATTAAACACCCCTTGGTAGAAAGGACTCTGTCCAACAGGAAGGAGACACAYGAACAACCACAATACAGCATTCCAGAATGTGACCCTGTGGGTGTCCAGAGCAAGTGACTCACAGCACTCAGCAGGCAGAGGCCAGGGGACAGGGGAAGAGAGCGGCTACACCAAAGCAGGGCAGGTGAACTGCCACCCCACTGTGCGAAGCACTCAAGTTCAGTGGGGTTGATATGTGGGGCAAGGGAGGCTTAGCCACCACAGGCTTGGGAACACTAGGACACTGGCAATCAGGAAGTCCAGAGAGCAGAGAAAGAATAAAAGCCAGTAGATCAAAGGAAACTCTGAAAGGCTGGTCACTGATGCTGGGCCCATTTGGAAGACAGAGTTTTTGTACAGCATGTCCAAAGTTCTACTCCATGTGATACCAAACAAGTGGTATCTGGACATGAGAACCTCCTGGTGAAATCCCAATTGTTTCAGGCAAGAATCATAAAATGGAAACTCAAACCAAAGGTCTGAAGTGAAACAGGATGTATGCATAGTTACAAAATATCTCCCAGAAGATACTCACTGATTATGAGAACCTGAGAAAGGCCAAAGACACCACCTTGACCAACAGACAAACAGCACCTGGGGCCTTCTAGTAGGCGCACCACGGACCTTACATCTGTGCTGCCACTGCCCAAAGCATAAAATCTGAATCTAACAGTGAGGAAACGTCAGACACATCTATATGGAAAGATGTGCTACAAGATGACCTATGTCCTTAAAAATGTCACATCATGAAAGGCCAAGACAGCCTGGAACAGTTCTAGATTCAAGGAGACAGAGATATGACACTAAATGCAATGGCGACTAGAAAAAAATGGCCTATTCCTTTTACTATACAGGACATGAGCAGAAAATGATGAAATATGAAGAAGTTCTGTAGTTCCTCAGTATGTATCTGAATTACTGTCCTGATTTTCAGAATTCTATACTATAGGGTCATAAAAGAATGTCTCTGTTGCTGGGAGCTGTAGTGTAATTCCAGCGACTTGAGAGGCTGAGGCAGGAGGATTGCAGGTTTGAGGCCACCACAGTGACACCCTGTTTCAGTGGTAGAGTGCCCCAGGTCAATACCCAGCACTGAGGGAAAAAAAGAAAAGTATGACTCTTTCTTTTAGGAACCACTGACGCGTGTTATAGTGGCCAGATCAGGGCACATGGTGAGACCCAACTGCATGGGTCCTCCCCAGCTAGACTGGAGTACCCCTCTTGCCCATGCCCCTTTCCACCCTAATATTGGGCTGAGAAGGTTTGATTCAGTATTTATGGAGCAAATGAAAGAAGKTTAAAGAGTCTGAAAAAGTAAAACAGCAGCAGAACTTCAGGGTGGGCCCTGCATCCACCAAATAAGCTTAACATGTTTAAGCTTGTGAGCAGTGCCAGCGGTGGCCCACGCCAAACTGGTTCCAGAGTCTCTTCACTCCGCGAGCAGTCAGACTGGGAAGTACAGTCTGCTTTTTATACTCAAATGAAGGACTGGGGCTGCAGCTCCACGGTAGAGCCTATCTAGCCTGTATGAGGCCCAGGGCACCCAAGAAAAAGAAAAAAAAAAAGGTACGCCTCTGACTCTGCGAGCCACCCCAGCCTCAGTGAGTGAAAAACAGCCCAACTTCTGCCAGATGATAATCTGTGGACCAGAGAGGGGGCAAGGTGGGGAGGGCTGGCCAGCCAGGAGGAGGAAGCTGTTTCAAGACACCTCAGTCAGAATCCAGTGGCTCCTGCCTGAGTCAGCCCCATCCTTCTGTTCTGTTCCCAACCTGGCTAAGGTCCGTCCCCTAAGGGACCCCACCAGACCCCTTTGTCCAAGCTGGAAACCTTGGAATCTGAATTCAATCTCCCCTTTGCTAACTGGCCCCTAATTTGATTCAGAAATGGCTCCCCCCCGCCCCATACTGGGGATTAAACCCAGGGTGCTTTACTACTGAGCTGCTATATCCTCAGCCTATTTTTATTTGCTATTTTGAGATAGGATCTCACTATTGCTGAGCCTGGCCTCAAACTTTTGATCCTCCTGCCCCGGCCTCCTGAGAAGCTGGGATTTCAGGTGTGCACCCAGACCCAGCTCAGAAATGGCTCTGAACCCATCCTTGCTCCCAGTCCCCACTGCCACTGTCCCATTCACTTCTATCAGATCTCAGGCCTAGTCTCCCACCTAGCCTCGAACCCACCCAACCATTCTTTTTCATTCCTGCTTTAAGTCTTCACTGGCCTGCACGGCCCCCAGGATGAGGCTCACAGTACAACAGGACCTGGTGTCCTGCCCTCCTCTTCCCCAGTCCTGAGGCCTGCTCTCTGGACTGGGCCCTTGAAGGCAGGGTTCTCCCCTTTCTTGTGTCTCCTTCAGAGATGGCCCAGCACCAGACTCAGATAAGCATCAGCAAAGCCAAGCAGATGTGGGCAGATGACAAAGAAAACCAGGAAGTAAATGCAGGACAGAGCCTGAGGGAGCCACACAGAAGGAGGGAAGAGCCCTGGAGCCATCAGCGATGCTGAGCAGCGACTCCACAGCTGGCATCCCAGGTCCCTGAACAAGCTCAGCGGTTATTTAAACTGCAGACCACAGCTTATTATGTAATCATGAAATTATCATCTTGAGTACAACCTGCATKAAAAAGTAAATAAATAAAGTAATAGCCTATACTTAGTAACACTAATAACTTTTGTCCCTATTCTGTGACATATTCATGTAAAATAAATATACCCTGTGGAAAGGTACCATTTTGTCATCTAGCAGGGTATTAAAGAATACAGGATTCGACCCAGGCTTCTGGTGGATTACGTAACCCTTCTGAGGCCGGTTTTCTTAGCTGTAAAATGGGGGTAATTTCTGCAAACTACTCAAAGGAGTGCTGTGTGGATTAAATGAGATAAACATAAAAAGTACTTGGAATGGTCCCAGCAGCACAGTGAGGCTGCAAAGCAGCCTTTATTATCACTGGGCCTCAACTCAATACAGAATGTATCTCCACCATGGGGGATGGCCATAAGAGCCCACCAACCCTGGGATCTGGCACTGTCTATGCTTTATCCCATTTTATGTTCACAATCATGTAGGGAGTGACTGTCCCAGCTTTCCTGAAGAGGGAACAGAGTCTCAGCTGAAGCAGTGCCCCAGGGCAAAGGACTAGGGAATGGCAGTGCTGGGACCTGACTCACACTGTGCCATCAGGTACCCAGCGGCAGGCCTCCCTGGAGGAGGCACTAGGAGGGCAGGAACCAGGGGAGAGGCCAGGCAGGATGACTCTCCTCCACAGAAGACCCAGGCTGGGGGCTCTAGAGCGCGGGCGCCCAGAGTCCAGCGCCCCACTAGGAAGGGAAGAGGGCAATAGCAGGGCCAGGACAGTACTCACTTGCACTCGGCCTCCGCATCGGCCTTGGCGGTGGTGTAGAGGCCTCGCAGTTTTGTCCGGTAATAAGGAGAAACTGTAGAGCGAGCACAGGGTGAGAAGGCATAGGCGAGGGGCGGCGGCGGCGGCGGCCACGTGGCACTGCTCCCAGGACACCAGAAGCATATTTGGGAGGCTCAGAGAGGCCAGGGCCCAGAGCCTGGGCTTTACTGGCTCCTCAGTGTACCCAAGGGCCGACAGCTCCTGCTGAGCAAGTTCATGCTCAGACACCACCACGGCTAAGGCAGGGATTTTGAGGTTCTTTAGAGCTGATCAGTCCATCATCACCAGTCTCCTGGGTCACTTAAGGTCACTCAGCCTAAGGGAACACTGGCCCTCTGGCCCATGGAGCAGTTCATTTTGGAATACACAGATACATACAAAAGCCCCCTGTGAAAGCAGTGACTGCTGCGCTCCCAGTCAGCTCCCACCCGGTCAGCCCTTCCCTCCTGAGCCCTGCTACTCACTCTTGTTCTCTGTCTGCATCCGCTCATGGGTCTTCTGGATGTTCACTAGGTTGTGTTCACTCCTCGATCGCTCTTCCTGTGAGCATGAGGTTGAGGGGACAGGAGCGAGGCCTTCATTTGGCACCCTGCATCTTGGGCCAGAGCCCCATCCCATCAATCCAAATGTACAAGTTCAAGACAAGCTTTTCCCCTGACTAATAATGCAAAACATTACAAAAGCCATTAAGAGTTAAATCATGAGTTATCCTTTAATGACACCCTTTATCAAAAAGAGATAAATTACAGATTCCATGGAATCACCATTAAAATTCCCGGTGACTTCTATGCATAAATTGACAAACTTATCCTCGAACTCATATGGACACTCGAGGACCCACATTAGCCCAAACAATCTTGAAAAACAAAAGTTGAAGGACTCAATTCAAAATCTACTACAAAGCTACATCATCACAAGGATGAGGTGGGCTGAGGTGTAGCTCAGTGGTTGAGCACTTGCCTCGCATGCTTAAAGCCCAAGGTTCCATCCACAGCTCTATACAACAAAAACGAAAACATAAAGCACAGTGGCACACTCCCATAATGCAGGAGGCTGGGGCAGGAGCCAGCCTCGACAATTTAGCAAGACCCTGGCTCAAAATAAAATAAAAAGTGCTGGGGATGTCGCTAAGTGGTAGAGCGCTCCCAGGTTCAATCCCCAGGGCCACCAAAAAAAAAAAAGAGGAATGAAGGTGTGTCACTAGCACATGGATCAATAGAACAGAACCAAGAGTCCAAAAATTAGCACACACAGCTGTGATCAATTGACTGGGGTAAGAAGTTGAAGGTGGATGTACTGGTACAATTCTTCCCCATATACTGGTCCCTGGGAGCAGGGCTACAGCTACAGACACTGGAGGCAGGGACGACCCCTCACGAGAAGGTAAAACTCTTCCTTTTAACTCTGATGTGGGATTTTTTAAGTACATGAGGCATAGGCTGTGCCTTTATGCCATGTGGCAAAGTGGGGCAAACAGTGAGCACAGCCTCAAGGTGGAGAGAGCCCAGTACTTGCTCCTTGTAACTGACCCATGTGGATGGAGTAATAGGGAATGGACGAGACGGTACCGCTGCCAGCCACCCAGACAGCACAGCGGCCAATCCAACACCTCCCACKGGTGGAAAAGTATGGACAGTGTTTACCACTGACAAAGGAGAGGAGCACTCGCTCTCAAATGCTCTCCTGCWGAGTGTGAGGTTAGGAGGACAAGGGGGGGCCTGCATCTGGCATCCTGCGTCTGAGGTCAAAGAATGTTCACAGGGGTTATGTGATGAAAGAAGTCAGTCTTATAGCAAAACCTAAGAGAGGCTCAGAGCGAGAGAATATGGTCTCCCTTCACTCTTACACCAGGTGCCCGGACACCTGCAAGACCGCTCCTGCTTCTGGAAGCTGACCAGGTCAAACAGAAGCTGGCAGACCTGAGTGGCCTCCTGAGAGACGTTCTCGTGACCAGGATGATGATAAACTGAACGGAACTCTAATGCTGTGCCAGCGTCTTTTTCTATTCTTCAAATTTTATTTCATTAGTAAACTATTTTTAGAGCAGTTTTAGGTTTAAAAAACAGAGCACACAGCACAGAAAGTCCCCATATTCCTGCTCTCTTCGATGCAGTTTCCCCAATCATTCACATCTTGCTTCAGCGTCGCTCCTCTGCTTCGAGGACGGACCAGTACTGACACACTACTAACTGCAGTCCGTGCTCTAACAAGGCCCCTCTGTGTGGTTTTGACAAATGCTTACTGTCATGTATCCGCCATTATGTATATTATAGACATGGCTGCACAACTCTGAATATACTCAAAACTACTGGATTACACACTTTAAATGGGGCATAGTTATGTGAATTATCTCCCAATACAGCTGCTAAACAAAAAGAACCCAGAAACCCTGTACACTACAGAAAATCCAACAGGAGGCCCAGTCATGCCCCACACCTCCCCCTCACCTTCTGCATTCCTGCATTCACATTCTCTGGGAACACAAGTCCCAYCCGCAATCCTCCTCAGCTCTGTGTCACAGCCCTGACCCTCCTCTGGAGGGCTGTGGCTTCCTACCTGGGTTTGCTTGATGAGCTGGTGGAGCTCTGTGAGAAGTTCTGCAATGCGGGAGTCAGCAGACACGAGGGCCATGGCGTATAAGGTGCCTGGTGGGGAAGGGAGAGGACATTAGTGGTTCCTGTGGGCTGAACTGCTTTCCTTCAAAAGATAYGGGGAAGTCCTACCAAAAATCAATTGTATTTCTATACACCTGTCACAAACAACCCAAAAATKAAATTAAAAAGACAATTCCATTTACAATACCAAGAAAACAAAATACTTAGGAACAAGTTTAATAAAAGTATAAAATCTTTACTCTTCAGAGTAAACCATAAAACACTTTTGAAAGACATTAAGAAGACCTAAATAAATGGATCTTAGAAGACAGAAAATTAAGATGACAATATTCCTCAAATTGATCTACAAATTCAGAGCATTCCATATGAAAATCCCAGCTGGCTTCTTTGTAAAAACTAACAAACTCATCCTAAAATTCATAAGCAAAGTCAAGGGACCCAAAACAATTTTGAAAATTAAAAAGTCAGAGGAACCATATTTCCCAAATACAAAACTACTACAAAGCTATAGTACTCAAGATGGTGAGGTATTGTTAAGGAGAGACATGTAGATCAATGGACCAGAATCTAGACACTGAAATAAACCCTAACATCCAAGGTCAACTGAGTTACAAAAAGCGTACAAAGACAACTCAATGCGGAAATAGTCTCTTCAACGGATGGTAGAGGAATGAGTGGATATCCACATACAGAAGAATGATTTAGGACCTCTAATCTCAGATCACAGACAAAATTATCTAAACAGAAACTTCTCAAAAAGATATACATATATTACTGACAAAAATACCTGAGACAATCAACTTATAAGGAGAAAAGTTATTCTGGCTCTCAGTTTCAGAGGTTTCAGGCTGAGGCAACTTGGCCTTGCTGTTTGGTCCCGTGGTGGCACAGCACATCATGGTGGGGGCATGTGGCAAAGGAGGCCTATTCACTTCATGGTGGCCAGGAAACAAAGAGTGGAGCCAGGACCTAATATCCCTTCAAGGACATGTCCCTGGGCTGGGGATGTGGCTGAAGCGATAGCGCGCTCGCCTGGCATGCGTGCGGCCCGGGTTCGATCCTCAGCACCACATACAAATAAAGATGTTGTTTCCGCCGAAAACTAAAAAATAAAATATTAAAATTCTCTCTCTCCCCCCCTCTCTCTCTCTCTCTCTCTCTCTCTCTCTC